CTAGCTACAGACAGCCTGACCGGTCTCCTTTGTTCTTATAAATATTGACGATGGAGGCGTCTTTAAGAGCTTGGGGGATTTCCTCCTTTTCCCATATATTCTCCAGGAGATAGTGGAGACGGCTTGCAAGCAGAGGTCCTCCGGCTTTATACACCTCGGCTGGTATTTCATCAGGGCCTGAGGCTTTGTTTTTTTTTATCTGTTTGATGGCAGTAGGCACCTCATCCAGGGATGGAGGATAGCTGAGGTGGGTCAGCTCTGATGCTCAGGGCTCTGCTGGGTAGTCAGGACATCCACATCAGTGTTTCAGTTGAGCAGTGAATGGTAGTGCTCTTTCCAGTGCTGAAGGAGGCCTTCATCGTCTTTTACTATTAGATGAGCGGGGTAGAGGCTGTGCCACAAGTGATTGGCCCATAAAATGGTTTAGCAGAATTGAAAAATTCGCGCCTCTTGTGCTGATCTGCATTTTTTGTGTGTGTTTCACATGCTCTATTTTTAAACCAGTCATTCTTTAGATTGCGAAGTTTGCACTGGGCCGCCGCTTTCTTCTTGCGGAAGGTATCAGCTTTGGTTCGAGACTGAGGGTTGTTTTGCCAGTCAGTTAAAGAAGCACATTTATCATTGATGAGTACATTGATTGCCTGGTCATTTTCATCAAACCAGTCCTAGTGTATTCATTCGATCTGGCCGAGGGTCTCTGTAGGTTTTCGTCATAACAGTGTTGAGAATATCCCATTCTGCACTGGGAATTGGGTTGTTTCTTGTCGGGTTGTTTATCAGCCAATGTTCGAGCTGCTCTCTGAAATCATGTGCTACCACTGGATCCTCCAGACGCTTAGTGTTAAGACCTCTTCTGAAGGCTTGCTACTTTCGCCGTTTTTGGACGACAAGAAGAGAGAGCTTGGCTCTTAGGAGCCGATGGTCAATGTCGCAGTGGTCTGAGCCACGCATGGCTCGGGTGATGAGGACATTAAGGCGATCTCTTTCTCTGACAATGAACTACAAACCTTTGAACTTCTCGACCTGCCTAAACAAGGTATTGATGATAGTGAGGTTATGTGCAGCACACTTGCTGAGGAGGAGTAGACCGTTGGGATTACATTTGCTTTGTCCATTTCTTCCTATAGTTCTCTGCCAAATGTCAGCATCTCTGCCAACTCTGGCATTGAAATCACCAAGGAGCACAACCTTATTTTCTCTGGGGATAGAGGTTAGCACTCTGTCGAGGTCGGCACAAAGGGTCTCCTTGATGTCATCCTCTGCATCCAGTCTTGGGGTGTATGAACTGATGAAAAAGGCATGACGTGAGTGATTCAGTGGGACTTGGAGCGTTATGAGGCGCACGTTGATCCCAAGTGGCATTTCAGTTAGCCTGTGCACTATGCGTTGGTGAATGACTAAGCCAACTCCATAAATGCGGTTTCTCTCCGCAGCAGGCTTACCTTTCCAGAAGAAGATATAGCCAGACCCCCATTCTGTGAGTTGACCCTTGTCTGGGAGCTGGGACTGACTAATGGCTGCTATGTCGATGTTATACCTAGCCAGCTCTTTTGCCATAATGGCAGAAATAGCAGATGTTCTTTCAAGACACTCATTTGTGCCAGTATCCAAAAGGGTCCTGACATCCCATGCAACGACCATAAGAGGTTGTATAGTTTTTTTTCTGGATCTGTGATTATGGTTGTGTTTTCGACAGCATAAGTATGACGCTACTGGGCGCGGTTGCCCAGTCAGTTTGTTTTTTAAGGCAGGCTATGTTTTTGGTAGCCTCCCCATGTGGGGTGAGTAGAGTGGCTCCTGGAATGGGCTGTTCAGTAGGCACAGACAGGACCGGCTTGCACTGCTGCCTAGATCCCAGTGCATAAACGACCATCTTATCTATGCCGCCCATGTGCAGAGTTGTGACTAGAGACTCCCGGCAGTCATCTCTGCCTGTCCCCGTCGCCACTTGTCCTCTGCCATGGGGCTCTTGGGGGTATACGTCCTTTGATGATGATGAGAGGTGTGATGAACTGGATGATGGCTGTGCGTGAGTTGATTTATGACGTGAGGCAGGAGCGCTGGCTGCAACCACATATTTTGGCTCTCCCTTTTCCTGATCATTTGTGTGCATGTGTTGCAACGACTGGGGAGAATGAGAGTTGCAATGGACTGCCGATAGCCCAGTTTGTTGGGCTTCACCTTAGTAGCATTGCCTTCGTCGCCGGTGTAGTCGTTGGGTTCCCATGTTGGTCACCTCTTCCACCTACTGTATACCGCCGTTGGGGTCTTGTTGGAGCTCTGTTAGCATGTCTGCCTGATGCGGGGCTCCACTGCAGTGTTTTCGTTTGGGGTTTACTCCCGGAGCCTTATACCTACCAAGGTTAATCCGCAAGGCAGCGGGGCTGTGGCTGGTAGGCGCCAGGACGTTTCTGCATGCCAGTGGGCCTATGCACCGTCCCTTTGGGACCCACTGCTGCTCCAAGATCCCCTGGTGGTCTAGCTTGGGCCCACGAAGCACCCAGTTATCGTGTGTTGCCATGAGGAATCACAGCAGAGTCTTGATGGAGAAGAGGCTGTGTACTGGCAGAGGAAGACTTATGCAAGTTGCTCCCTTGTTCGTCACGAGAACTAGCCAGCGGCAGTAGCTGAAAGCGAGAGGAAGCAAGCAGTGCTTGCACCTTAACACTAACATAATGCTGCCACACTATACGCATTTCACCTCCCTGTGTGTGAACACACACGTACGTATCAGCTAACACCCCCCATCCATTTCTCAGTCATGAAACATTCATTTTCCAATCTTACCGTCTTCGCAACTACCGATCTAAGTCAGTTCATTTCGATTCTATCTAGTTAAGGCATCGTGTTTCGTACGTTAGTTGGCAGTTAGTAGATTCTGAAAGGCCTGTACGGTATTGCTGTTTCGTTCCTTGACGAACGACATGTTGGAGTATCTAGTAGAATCATCGTCAGGAGTGTAGGTTGTTATCGTCTCTTCTTATCTCCAGTAATCGTAACTATTCATAAACCGGTAAATAAATAAATAAAGAAATGAAATTACATTGGATACCCTTCTATGCCGACATAAAAACAACGAAAACATTTAAATCCTGAAAATTTTCAAACCAAGAATATGGGAAATCCCTTGAGAAATGTATATATAATCCGACTTTAGTTAAAAGCTTGAAAACCATATTCAGTATATATTCAATCCAAAACCATAAAAACCCATAAAAACCCATAAAACCCATAAAAACCCTTCCATTTAAATCTAATACCATCAAAACCTATTAAAAACCCTTACAATCCAATCTAAACCAACAAACTCAGCTAAAAAACCACATATTCTACCCCATTTAACGTACAAGCCTCTGAGAATTCACATCAAAACCCACCTAATTAAGCAATAAGAAAAAATAACTTCTGAATCTCTGTGAATCCGAATCCTGGTTGAACATATTCTTAATTCTCTTACAAATCTTAGAGGGACCAGTTCTCTTAACCTCATGGTAAGGGAGTTAACATTATCTCATGATATTTTGAGAATTCGTAATAAGTTAAGAGAGTTTCCCCAGTTAAGAAAGCAACACAAATAGCCGAGGTTAGGTTAAGTTAGGTGACTAAGGGTTAAAATCGTTAATAACAAGGAAAAAATACGATTTTTTTTAGAATACTGTTCAAAATATCGCGTCAGAAAATAAATTACGATTTTTTTTAAGAATACGATCCATAATATTGAGAATTAGTTAAACAAAAAATACGATTTTCTGTGAATGTCATTTATAATATCGCTAATTAGTTTAAAAAGTACCAGAAAAATACGATTTTTAAAGAATATCATCCAGAATATCGTAAGTTGGTTGAAAAATAAAGTACGATAATTTAACAATGAGATCCACACCATCACCAATTACTGGAGAAAATCTTAGCGTTACGACCGTCTGAGAATTCTACCGTCAAGAGTAATCGCACGCATACGAGACACATTTCTCTCCATAAATCCGGGAAGGCTGGAGGATCGTGTAATGCCCGCGCTGGCGTTAAATCCTCGCCTGGCTACTTCATTATACACGCGGACTCTTGTTAACTGTTCGCCCGCCTCCCCTTGTGTGCTCCCCTTCTCTTCCTGACGTATTGTTATTACTGCCCCTGAGAGAGAGAGAGAGAGAGAGAGAGAGAGAGAGAGAGAGAGAGAGAGAGAGTGAGAGTGTCTGTGTGTGTGTGTAGGTGTATTCGTTAGTGTATATATGTATGTGGGATACGTGTGTAATTAAATTCTTGTTATGAAATTAAATACAAAATCTGAACAATTATATACATTATTTCGTACAACATATGTAAACATGGCAGGATATTTGCCCTGTGATTCCGGTGCTGTCTCGACCATAGTATATTGTTTCGAGTCCTAGGCCTCGAACACTCTTAACGCCTCAGTGAACACGGTTCGAATTCTCAGACGTACAAGTTCTGTTTACAAGTTTCCCTTGAGCTAACTGGAGGGAGGAGTGACCCCCTAACTACAGGAGTTCAGCTCTTGTTCGAGGCTTCAGTGAGCAAGATTTGGGGCTTCAGTGAACAAGTTACGAAATTTCATTGAGTTACGTTCAAGGCCGCAATGGGTAAGGTTCGAGGTTTCATTGAGAAAGGTCCAAAGTCTCAAAATAATAAATTCCTTCGGTCACCTGCTGCTCCGTCTGGCCACAAGTGAAGAAAACCTTATCTTGTAAACAAGCGTAAAGACAACTAGGTGCCTTGGTTCGCCCCACAGAGAACTAGAGGGCCAATAGTCGACTGATGTAACGTGTGTGTGTCAATATGATCCTCTTGAGTGTGGGTGATTCTCCTGAGCTGCGTTGTTGATCCTAACATACCCTACTTGATCCTGATGATACTAACTGAAATCATCTGGTATAAACTAACTCTATTTCACCCCAACAGAACCTTCAATAAGCCTCGTTGATCGAGTTAATCTTCCCTGACCGTGAGAGACTGACCTCCCCGTCTTCTCTCTCCCTTAGGACATGTTTATATGGTGGATCTCCTGGGCGTGGCTACTCTGCTGGGCGTGGGCGTGCATGGGCGTCAGCGTGTGGGCGGCAGGCATGACCCCGGAGGAGGTTGGTGGAGTCCCTGGGACCACAGCCCCTGGAGGAGAAGACGCTTCCTCTGTGGTCGTGATTCATGAGCGTGTGGGTCCTGGCATGGGCGGGTCTGCTGTGCAGCTGCTGGGGTTGGAGAATGGACAGCACTTCGCCACACAGCCCACACCCCAGACTGCTGTGGTGGGCTCTACCGCTGTGCTCCCCTGCAGGTGAGATACCCTGCTAGTGTGTGTGTGTGTATATGCGTGTGTTTTTTTCTTTTAAGTGTACAGTATATGTTTCTGCTGTGACTATGTGCGTCACTTGGTCACTGTATGAACGTAGCTCTGGGTATGTACAGTATATTTATGTTCCATTCTATCGGTATTTTTATTACTATAAGACATTGAGAAATTACTTTATTCTTCTCCTTTATTGACCTCCCCTCCCTCACCTTCCTGCAGGGTCATCAACAAGGTGGGTCACCTCCAGTGGACCAAAGATGGGTTCGGACTGGGCACCGAGAGGGATTTGTTCGGCTTCACGCGATACGCCATGATCGGCTCAGACGATGAAGGTCAGTGTAGGTCCCCGTTACCACACCTCACCACACCCGGTACAGTAAACCAAGAAAATAATGAGTGATGTGTTAATTTCTCTTAGGTTCTATTTGTTATTTGTTATTTCAAGACAATGAAAATGGTCTTACGGTTTTAAATTTCATCTTAAGATTAATTTGCCATTATCATCAGGAACTCTTTGTTTGCGTGACTTAATTAAAGAGAATTTAGGTATCCACTAAGAGGGATTATTCCATTAATATTTCCTCTGTATTTCTAAGGCTTCATCAGCTCTCATATTCACGCATAAATGTTTACTAAATATTGGCACCATTTGGGGTGAATATTATTTCCTACAATAAGTCAATAACTAGCTAGAATATGGTTCATTAGTAAACTTATTCTTTAATTTACAAATACATTTATCCACCAACTCGTCTCTCGGTTCACAATGTCACAATATTTCTGTGTTGGTCGACGGATGATGAAGACAATAATACTCCCACATTACTAAAAAAAAAAAAAAACACTGAGAAAGAGAAGCAATTTAATATAACCAAACCAAACCTAACCTAACCCCTCTCAGGTAGCATTAGGGTGTTTAATTATCAGGTGAAATAAGATAGGGAGTCTAATCTTCAGGTGGTCAATTTTTGTACGGTGTGTTTGTATGACGGTATAAATGTGCGTTATGTCACCCACCACCACCACCACTACCATCATCATCATCACCACCACCACCACTATCATCACAACCACTATCACCACCACCATCGCCCTCGTTAAGGTTCCTCCTGCCATTTATATAAAGCTTTGTCATCCCTTTGTCATAAGTCATGTATAACTGACTGACCAATTTTCAGTGTGTGTGTGTGTGTGTGTGTGTGTGTGTATAAAGGTAACTCACCGAGACAACATCTTTTATTAAGCTTCTATGTTAATCCAGCAAATATTTAGGCCATCTGAGGTCAACATCATCATTAATTACAAACAAGAGACATAGTTAAAAATAATAAAGAAAAAAAAACACAGAAATAAGAAAGAATTACACCTCTACCTTCCTCAACCTCCCGCCATGTTTACAGTTTCGGGATCGCTTACACACCGATACTGTACCATCATCAGATCGCTTACACACCGATACTGTCCCATCATCAGATCGCTTACACACCGATACTGTACCATCATCAGATCGCTTACACACCGATACTGTACCATCATCAGATCGCTTACACACCGATACTATACCATCATCAGAGTTAAGTCGCTATCCATAGAAACTAAATAATCACTTTCTTTATCAAATCTATAAACTTTCCCACAATACAAAGAACTTAGCCATTAAATACTGTAACTTATGAGTATATTCTAGTGATTGTTCTTTAATTAGAGAGATTGTTAGCTTGTTTAGTGCTCTGAGACACAGTATAGTGTGTGGTCATCAGTGAGTTCAGACGCCACGTGAAGTGAGAGAAATTATGGATCACCTGAAGATTAGCTCACCAGTTTATATCACCTGTTGAATAATCATCCTAATGCTACCTGAAGGGGTTAGGTTAGGTGAGGTTAGCGTTAGGTTACATTAGGTTAGGTTAGGTTAGGTTAGGTTAAGTTAGGTTAGGTTAGGTTAGGTTAGGTTAGGTGAGGTTAGGTTAGCGTTAGGTTACATTAAGTTAGGATAGTATTAGATTAGATTAGGTTAGGTTAGGTTAGGTTAGCGTAGCATAGCACAGCGTAATTAACCTTAAGGTGATGATATACGCTGGGGACTAATCGTCAGTGATGGGAAATTATGTCTGTAAACTTTAAAAGGCAAATGTTGTTACTTGTATTAACTAAGATATACACAAGCCGTTAGTTCAGCGAGGGTGTTATCTTTGTCAACGAGGGTGTTACCTCTGTCAGCGTGTGTGTTATCTCTGTCAGCGTGGGTGTAGCCTCTGTCAGCGTGGGTGTTATCTTCGTCAGCGTGGGTGTTATCTCTGTCAGCGTGGGTGTTATCTCTGTCAGCGTGGGTGTTATCTCTGTCAGCGTGGGTGTTATCTCTGTCAGCGTGGGTGTAGCCTCTGTCAGCGTGGGTGTTATCTTCGTCAGCGTGGGTGTTATCTCTGTCAGCGTGGGTGTTATCTCTGTCAGCGTGGGTGTTCTTTCCGCCAGCGTGGGTGTAGCCTCTGTCAGCGTGGGTGTAGCCTCTGTCAGCGTGGGTGTTATCTTCGTCAGCGTGGGTGTCAGCTTAGGCTCTGGGTCTCGGGGTGTAGATGAGATCCCAACCTGTATGTATATAAACGCTTCTGTAAAGTGAGGAGAAAAACTATTATTCTCGCCATGAATATCAATGACGTAAAAAGATGGCTGTTATATTTAGGTCTCGTAACGTCACAGATAAACTATATTTGGATGTTTGAAATAAAAAGAAAAAAAATGACAAAAGTAATCTGAATTTCTTTCTTATATGAATGGAAAAGTACTATCGTATTTAAAGTAGTAAAGTCAGGATTTATGACGTGTATGACGTGTTTATAGTGATGTCATAGAGTTTGCTGTAGTGATGTCACGATGCTCATTCAATGTTCGCTCTAGGGACGCTACAATAATCGTTTAAGTGACGTCATAATGCTCGTTCAAGTATGTTCATGTCACCGATAATGTTTATGTTATAATGAAATGAAATTATCTCTCTCTCTCTCTCTCTCTCTCTCTCTCTCTCTCTCTCTCTCTCTCTCTCTCTCCTCTGTCTATCTGTCTGTCTGTCCGTCTAAACCATCTATCTCATCACCACACAGGAGACTTCAGCCTAAGAATCAAGCCAGTACTGCTGGACGATGATGGGCTCTACCAGTGCCAGGTGAGTGCCAGTGACGGGGTGCCAGGCATCAGGTCACACGCCGCCCGCCTCACCGTGTACGTGCCGCCCTCACCGCCCACACTCACGCCGCCCGTCCTCACCACCACCGCGGGCGTTACTGTGACCCTTGTGTGTGAGAGCTCTGGAGGACGACCTGCTCCTGAGGTGAGTGTGGGGGAGGGGGGAGGGAGGGGGAGGAGGTAGGAGGGGAGGGAGAGGAGGGAGGGGAGGGAGGGAGGGAGGAGGAGGGGGGAGGGGAGGTAGGAGGGGAGGGGAGGGGAGGGAGGAGGAGGGGAGAGGGAGGGAGGGGGGGGAAGGAGGGAGGGGGGAGGGAGGAGGGGGAGGCAGAGGAGAGGAAGGGAGGTAGAGAGATAGAGAGGAGAGAGAGAGAGAGTGAAGTGAGAGGCGGTATGTAAGAGTGTGAGAGTGGAGTCGAGGAGAGTGTGAAAGAGAGAATAGAGAGAGAGGGAAGAAAGGAGGGAAGTGAAGTAGAGGGAAGGATTGATAGAAGGAAGTGTGTGAGAAGTATATTGGACAGCATCAGATAGATTACAATGTTATATTTTCATTACATTATTTATCCTTGTATACTGATATCTCAATTTTTATGCATTCAAATATTAAACTTGTGTTGTAAAGTAATATTTTATTTCGTGTTTGAGAAGTATTAAATTTTTTTTTTTTTAGGATCATATTTTCTAATGTATAATGATAATCAATGGATATTTTTGATTCTTTTTACGATTATTCGATTTGCGATAGTTTACAAGAATTGAATCCTCTCACAAACCAAGGTATACTCTCTCTCTCTCTTTTACACTCGCCTACCCCGTCTCTCAGATCCAGTGGGTGGACGACGCCAGACGGGAGACCATCAGGACGGGGTGGATGGTGGAGACAGAACCCTTAGAAGACGGGAAGAGAGTCAAGGTCACATCCCGTCTCTCCTTCACCCCCAGAAGGACCCACCACAACTCTACCCTCACCTGCCTCACCTCCAACCAGGCCCTGAGCCACCCTTTGACCAGGTGAGTCGCTATACACCTAATTGCTATGGTATCTTTCTCTTCAGGTGATATTTCAAATTTATTTCACCTAAGACCTTTTGTTGTTTCATCTTCACCTAAAATTTAAACGTATATTCACCTAAAATCATCACCTATCTTAAGTTCACCTAATGATTCACCTGCCTCATCTTCACCTAAGACCCCCACCACCACCTGCCTGCTCCACCTACGCTAACTTTTCGTCACATAGATTCACCTAAAATTATCCATCATCTCACCTTGTTCACCTCCAATAAAGTTCTGAATCACCTACTGACCGGGTAGGGACGCCACACCTTTACCTGGCCTTAATGAACTGTTGTTTAGGTTAGTGTCGAACAATAGTCAACGTATATATACAAAATGTTCAATGGTCGACGTGTCTAACAACCCCCGACATGTCTAACAACCCCTGACATGTCTAACAACCCCAACATGTCCAACAACCCCGACATGTCTAACAACCTCAACATGTCTAACAATCCCCAACATGTCTAACAACCCCCAACATGTCCAACAACCCCGACATGTCCAACAACCCCCGACATGTCTAACAACCCCCGACATGTCTAACAACCCCCAACATGTCTAACTCTGCTCTACATGTCTAAACAATTCACTCCCCCAGCACCGTCCACCTAAAGGTGTTGTTCCCGCCAGAGGTTGGTCTCAGAGTTCGCCCATCTCAGCTGGTGGAGGGAGATGATGCTACTTTCCTCTGTACCGCCCAGGCCAACCCCTCCTCCTTACTTACAGGTGAGTCACGTTGAGTCACGATCAATAGAGTCGATTTAGTCAGTGATTCATGTACAGTTAAGTTAATTAGGTTTTTGTTTAGGTGAGTCAGTGAGTCACCTCTAGTTGGGTTAGTTTAGTCTGTGAAGCGTGTATAGATGAATCAGTTTGAGTCACATCCAGGTGAATCTATTTAATTAGTGAGTCAGGTATTGGTAAGTTAGGTTAGATTCGGGTTGAGTCTCTTTTAATCTGAATAGAACAGATAAATAGACAAATAGATAACTAGATAGATGGATAGATAGATAGATAGATAGATAGATAAATAGATAGATAGATAGATAGATAGATAGATAATATACAGTAGATATGAGAAGAGACAATTGAATAAAATAGACAAATAGACGGACGAATAGGTCAATAGAAAGAGGCAGGTGAAGTAATTGAATAAAGCAGGTATATAATGCTCTCAGGAACTAAATAGATCATACACAGTGTTTTTCCGCCTCACATAACATAGATGGGAGTTAAGTTGGACAGAAGTCAGTAGGAGGAGAGAGAATGGAGGAGAGAAGAGAGGAGGAAGAGGAGGAGGAGGAGAGGAAGAGGGAGGGAGAAAAGAAGGAAAAGGGAGGAAAGAAGAGGAGGAAAGGGAGGAAGAGAAGGAAGGAAGGAAGGAAGGAGGAGGAAAGAAGAAGAAGAGGAGAGGGGTGGGGTGGGAGGTGGGAAGGGGAGGAGAAAGAGGAGTCCACCATCACTCACCTTTCAGTATGTAAACAACGAAACGAAGGATTCTAATTGGTTCCTACGTCACATTTTCCTAGTAAATAGAGATAATAGAACGCATCTGATTGGTTCATTTAGAGCTACGACATAAAGGTAGATTCTCATTGGTTCCTTGAGATTCGAACACTGTCTTAGGTACTGGGAGGTGAGATTGTAGGTGAGAGGTAGAGACAGATAGAAGAGACTTAAGGAATGAAAGAGAAAGACACAGAAAAAGACACACACACACACACACACACACACACACACACACACACACACACACACACACACACACACACACACACACACACACACACACACTAGCCTAGAGGGAGCGACTGAATACAGATGAATTTACATGAGGAAAATATTGATATCTCTCTCTCTCTCTCTCTCTCTCTTCCGTCCGTCTGTCTTCCCCCATGTACAAAAATGACATACTTAACAAGTCATGTCCTTCATAAAATAATGCTATTTTAATCATAGAAAGTTTATGCACATATAGGTGAGGTGTAGTGTTAAGGTGCAAGCACTGCTTGCTTCTTTCAGCTACCGCCGCTGGCCAGCCCTCGTGGCGAACAGGGAAGCAACTTGCATAAGTCTTCACCTGCCAGTGCACAGCCTCTTCACCACCAAGACTCCTGTTGCCTCCTCGTGGCAACACACAGTAACTGGATGCCTTATGGGCCCAGGCTAGATCAGCAGGGGATCTCAGGTAGCAGTGGTCCTCAGAGGGACGGCGCATAGGCCCACTGGCATGTGGACACGTCCTGGCGCCTACCAACCACCGCCCCGCTGCCTTGCGGATTAACCTTGGTAGGGATGAGGCTACGGGAGCAAACCCTGAACGAAAAGTCTATGGTGGAGCCCCTCATCAGGCAGACATGCTTACAGAGCTCCAACAAGACCCCAACGGCGGTACAGGCGGAAGAGCTGACCACCATGGGAACCCAACGACTACACCGGCAGAAGAAGGCAATGCATGATGGACAGGCTACTAAGACGAAAACCAACAAAATGGGCTATCGGCAGTCCATTTCAACTCTCCCTCTCCCCAGTCGTTGCAACACTTGCACCAGTAGATCAGGAAAAGGGAGAGCCAAGATGTGTGGTTGCAGTCTGCGCTCCTCCTCATCACATAAATCAACTCATGTGCAACCTCATCCAGCTCATCATACTCATCATCACCGAACCCTTATACTCCAAAATTATTATGGCGATGGACGAGTGGCGACGGGGACAGGCAGAGATGACTGCCGAGGAGTCTCTAGTCACATCTCTGCACCATCTTATGTGCCATATAAGATGGTCACACTGGGATCTAGGCAGCAGTGCAATCCGGTCCTGTCTGTGCGACTGAGCAGTTCTTTCGAGGCCACTCTGCTCACCCCACATGGGAGGGGGCTAGGAAAGGTGCCCTAAACAAAGCCTGCATAAAGAACCAACCTGACTGGGCAACTCACTCAGTAAGGTCATCTTTGCATAATCACAGATCAAAACAAAAACAAATTATACAACCTCTTATGATCAGGAAGCCTTCTGGATTCTGGCACAGTGTGAAAAAAGAAGAACTGCCCCTGTAAAAAAGAGTTGGCTAGGTATAACATCGACATAGCAGCCATTAGTGAGTCCGGCTCCCAGACGAGGTCGACTCACAGAACAGGGTCTGGCTATACCTTCTTCTGGAAGGGTAAGCCTCCTGCGGAGAAGAAACTGCATTTATGGGGTTGGCTTTGCTATCCCCCAATGCATCCTACAGGCTAACTGAAATGCCTATTGGGATCAACGAACGCCTCATGACGCTCAGTCCCACATAATCACTCACGGTATGCTTTCTCTACCAATGCATACGCCCCAACACTGGATGCAGAGGATGACAACAAGGAGGCCTTTTACGCTGACCTTGACAGAGTGCTAACCTCTATTCCCAGAGAAGATAAGGTTGTGCTACTTGGTGACTTCAATGCCAGAGTTGGTAGAGATGCTGCACACCTCAATATCACCAATACCTTGTTTAGGCAGGCCGACAAGTTCAAGGGTTCGTGGCAACATCCATGATTCAAACACTGGCATCTCATTGACTACATCATTGTCAGAGACAGAGATCGCCGAGATGTCCTCATCACCCGTGGCATGCGTGGCTCAGACCACTGTGACACTGATCATCAGCTCGTCAGAGCCAAGCTCTCACTTCACGTCGCCCCAAAACGGCGGAGGCAACAAGAATCCTGAAGAGGTTTTAACACTAAGCATCTGGAGGATCCAGCGGTTACACATGATTTCAGAGAGCAGCTCGATCATGGGCTGATAAACAACCCAACAAGAAACACATCAAATCCTAGTGCCGAATGGGATATTCTCGACGCTGTCATGACAAAAACCTACAGAGACCCTCGGCCAGATCGAAAGAATACACCAGGACTGGTTTGTTGAAAATAACCCGGAAATCAATGTACTCGTCGATGATAAACGTGCTGCTTTAATTGACTGGCAGAACAACCCTCAGTCTAGGACCAAAGCTGATACCTTCCGCAGGAAGAAAGCGGTGGCCAGGCGCGAATTTCACCGTCAAGAACGACTGGTTTAAAAAATGAAGCTTGTGAAACGCAAAACCTGCAGATCAACACAAGATGGTGGGGGTGGAGGGTGTGGGTGGGGGTGGGGACCTGTTATCCTGGATGCAAACTAACGACCCTAATGAGTAAGAGGCGAGTGTTGTATTCTCTCGACCACTTCAACCCTTATTTGATAATATGCTTTTAAACTAATGGGGTTAAAACAAGGAAGCACAGGTGAATTAAACTCGTGTGTGTGTGTGTGTGTGTGTGTGCGAGAGACTGGCTGTCTTTAGGGCGATAGATAGATAGATAGATAGATAGATAAAAGTAGACTAAATAAATAGTTTGATTGTAATACGAAGATTGAAAGAGAGGTAGAGACAGATAAATAGTTAGAGAGAGAGACAGAGAGAGAGGGAGAGACAGATAAAGAGAGAGAAAGAGAGAGAGAGAGATTGTCGTACAACATTTAAGAAACCGAGATGGAATTCTTGATGAGAAGTAAATAATATAAGAAGGAGCTGGCGGGGAAATGATGAAAGAGAATGGAGGAGAGAGAGAGAGAGAGAGAGAGAGAGAGAGAGAGAGAGAGAGAGAGAGAGAGAGAGAGAGGTATACGTTGCAAAAAAGAACAAAAAGAAAAAGGAGAGAGAGACAGAGAGAGAGAGAGAGAGAGAGAGAGGATCAGGTCACCAGAATAACCCAGTGAGTGAGAAAATATATAGCGGTTTAGGTTTGCTCAGGTGTCTTTGTATTTTCTAATTAGAGATTACCTGACGTCATTCACACCTGGCCGGGAAATTGTTTTACGCCTTGTAGTCATGCAACGGGAGGTGGTGTGTGTGTGTTGGTGTGTGTGTGTGTGTGTGTGTGAGAAAGGAGAGTTCTTTGCTTGCAACAGGGGTGCCATGCTTGTAACGGTATGGTGCAACAAAGGTGCCAAAGATCAAGTGTACCTTTTTAGGGGCAAGTCAATGGTTGGACTTTGTCAATTAGCTCAACGTCCGTCCTTCCTGATTAACTGAACCGGCAATGAGTTATATTACCTCGTGAAGGAGATTTTGTTTCTTCTCTCATGTTTAAACTTGTCTCCTATTCGCTGCCGGACACATGACTACGCCCTTACTAACACAGCTATATTTAGGTGTACTTCACCCATGTTATTTTATTTTCCTCTTGATTAATATATTTAAGAATCCATTTAAAGAAACATTCAATTTCTTATCTCTCATATTGTTTTCCTTCTGTGTGTCCGTCCGTGCGTGTGTCCGTCCTCCCCGTGCGTCCGTCCGTCCGTGCGTGTGTCCGTCCGTCCGTGTGTGCCGTCCGTCAGTGCGTGTGTCCGTCCTTGCATGCAGAAGTTGTCAACACGATAACTTGAACAAATATCGAGGGATTTAAACCAAACTTAGTGTGTGGATATATCCCAACAAGGACCCGGATGAGTTAGATAAACAGTATTTGTCCGTTGAGTTGCTCTGGAGTTACGGCTCTTTGTTGTGGTGCAGTGAGGAACGACCTGGTTAGCTTATTATTGTTATTATTATGAATACTAGTATCAGTAATAGTAATAGTTGTTGTAGTACTAATAGTTTTATTATTATTATTATTATCAATCGTTATTATTATCGTAATTACCATCAGCATTATCGTCATTATCATCACCATCACTGTTACAGATGGTACCGGAGGAGTCAGCTGCTGGAGAACGCTACGTCGAGTGTTCTCTTACTACGAAAAATATCCAGAACTCTCCACCAGACCTCCATATCATGTGAGGTATGTCTGGTATAGTGCCTGGTATAGTGGTATAGTGCCTGGTGCAGTGGTATAGTGACTGGTATATCTGATAAAGCGCCTGGTATAATACCTGGTATGTCTGGTATAGTGCCTGTTATGCAGGGATGGGGAGTAGTAAAGTATATATACTTCACTACACTACTCAATTAATTTTTCGTATACTTTTCGTTTACTCAGGTACTCAAAAAATATTCTACTCTTTACTTTTACTTCTCTGCATTTCTTTTGTAAGACTGTCGTTACATTTGAAGAGAAAAAGGAAACAGAAAAGGCTTCTGGTTGTTATGGGCATGGCTCTTGTTTACAGCAACTGGCCAATCAGAACGCTGCTACTCTTGAGCAAACCAATCAGAAGCGGAGAGGTTTCCCGCGGTGCGGAATAGGAATACACCAGTCATTTCCAATCTAGTGTTGACCCCGTGAGCTTCATCCCGCTGTAGCCATGTCTACCTTAAAAAATCATCCGTGGCCTTATTTAAGGGTTGTTTTCACCGAAGACCATAGTGGGAAATTCAGTGAAGTTATAATGCCTTTTGTGTAAGCCAGAAGTAGTGGAGCTCAGTACTATAAAGATCTGCACCAGCCACGAGACCAGATAGTACCTGACAAAGATCCCAGCCAGTATGAATGTTTTAAATGTTTGTTTTTATCCATCTTGAAGGCAACTATCAAGACAAACATACCAACAGCAAGAAGATATATCCTTGATCCTAGGCCAATCCCCCAAATGGCCACCAAAGTACTTCCAATCCTTATCCCTGTCCTCCCACTCAGCATTACAAGCAATAGCCTTCTACCTTATTTACAGACGTCAAGTCAAGTCAAGATGAAGAAACCCCATTAACTGGGGCCAAATGAGATAAGGACCTGGCCGTTTATATTATAGTGACAACGAACTGAAGTTATCGGACCTTTGTGAAAAGAAGGTAAACTGAGCATCTAAACTAGTAGGTATTATAGGAAGGACATTCACACACCTACAGTAGATGGTCCGACCCTCATAACGCTCTTCAAAAGTGAGGTGCTTCCCTCTTTTGGGATTAGTCACCCTGTCTGGCAATCAAGATATACTAGAGACTGTTTGTTGATTAAAATGTCCAAAGGAGGGCCACCAGACTTGTACCTGCACCTCCGTTACTAATAGAGATTAGAAATCATTCGCTTGATGTTGCCCAGCTTATACTATAGGCGGCCAATTGGGGACTTAATAGAAGTTTATAAACACCTGTGAGGTCATTACTCAGTCGAGTATTCATACCTGGAACTGGCAGATGCCCGCCCCACTTGGGTTCACGGCAGGGCCGGATTCAGGAGTGGGCAAAGTGGGCAGCTGCCCAGGGGCCTCCACATATTACAATATTTTATTTATTTGTTTATTCATGGGGATTATTTTTATTTTCATTCTTTAAAATTCATGTTTATCTGTTCCATCACGTAACACTATGTTCAGCAAGAAGCGTGATAGAAATTAGGCTAGCTACTCCTTGAAATTCATGAATACCTGGTTTTCCTATGAACTGTATATTTTTAATGAATGCTATTGTTTGTGTTGCTAATAATATATTTAGAATTCCACAAACATATATTGATTAAAAATGAACTTCATGGAATAACGAAATTGAGATTAAAATTTTTTTTTTTTTTTTCATTATCACTTCCATTACGAATGCCATCAGGGCGCTGTGTTCTAATTTCCTCAATATAACTGCATATGGCTTCAAAATTCTCCAAAGAAGTGTTCAAATTTCAAAATTTTCCCGGGGGCTTACAGCGCCCTCCGGAACTCCCAGATGTTTAGGCTCGCTTCACTCGCCACCCCACCCTCTTGGGTAGTTATAATGAGGGGGGCCTCCACAAAGAGGCTGCCCATGGGCCTCCACAGGTCTAAATCCGGCTCTGGTTCACGGCTCAACGGTGAAGAAGCCACAAGTTCAAAAAATTGTCAGGGCAAACTATTTAGAGTGATAATTATGAACTCTTGGAACAAACTGCCAGAGAGTGAGGTGACGGCACCGGGTGTAAGCTCATTCAAAGCCAGACTTGACCAGCACTGGGGCAGGTACAGATACATCCTGGAACCAGTACGTGCCGAGTGACTGACCGCCCAAACGGCTAGCAGGCCGATCAGTGGTGAAGAGGATTAAGTAAACATCCCCTTGCTTGCTTCTACAGCATGCGAGCGGTTGTTTAGTTCTGCTGGGCTCTTGTTCACGTCAAGAAGAGCAAATCTTTTAGACAGCAGCTTTGGAAATCAGCTGCTGCTAAAGGTAAACATAAAATCAACTGTGTGAAGAACTGATTCACCCATGACGGAGTACTCTTACGTTTACTTGAGTAACTATTTGGAACAGTAACAGGACTTTGACTCAAGTAAATATAAATCAGTATTTTACCGATATCTGCTCGCAGGTATGATATAGTGCCTGGTATATGTGGTATAGTACCTGGTATTTCTGGTATAGTTCGTAGTATGATGACTAATTTAGTGGTTTAGTGTCTGTTATGTTTGGTATAGTGCCTGGTATATTTGGTATAGTGACTGATATATCTGGTATAGTTCTCGTATGTCTGGTGTAGTGCTTGATATGGTGGTATAGTACCTGGTATGACTGACTTAGTGGTATAGTAATTATTATATCTGGTATAGTGTTTGGTATAGTAGTACAGTGCCTTGTATCTCTGGTCTAGTGCCTGTTATGTCTGGTATAGTGCCTGGTATGTGGTATAGTACCTGATATATTGGGGCATAGTGCCTGGTATAGTGCCTGATATAGTGGTATAGTTCCTGATATAGTGGTATAGTGACTGGTATGACTTTCTATAGTGTATTAACACCTGGTATATCGCTTTTCTCACCTTTTCTTTCTATTTATCTATCTATTTCTTCATAGGTGTCCAACAAGGTGGGGACATCCAAGAAGACTCTGAGTGTCCACGTGCAGTACGGCCCAGTCTTCCGTGCCCTGCCCCGTGACGTCATGGCAGAGACGGGAAAGAAGGTGGTGCTCAAGTGTGACGTGGATTCGAACCCTCCGTCTACCATCGCTTGGCTCCGGGACGGCTCCGATAAGGTCCGAATAAAGGGGTTCAGAATACGGATAATGAGGTTTTAGTTTGGATAAGGTATTTTATTTCAGTTAAGGGTTTATTAGAAGTCCGGATAAGGGTTATTTCGTCCGTATAAAGATTGTTAAAGGTCCGGATGAGGGTGTCTAACCTGAATAAAGAGATAAATGAATGTTCACACACACACACACACACACACACACACACACACACACACACACACACACACACACACACACACACACACTCACACTCATCACCTGGCACCACTAGTTCTAGGCTGAACCATTTAATAGAAAGAATCTGGGTATTATCCACGTAAAATGGTGTGACACGTGAGGTATCCCTTGTGTCACACCCTTCCACATCACTATAATGCCTCGCTTGTGCCACACCCTTCCACATCACTATAATGCCTCGCTTGTGCCACACCTTTCCACATCACTATAATGCCTCGCTTGTGCCACACCCTTCCACATCACTATAATGCCTCGCTATGGAGTTGATCAGCTTCTAGCAGAATTCATAAAACAAATAGGCAAGAATGGGATGAAATATGTATGATTACAATATTTAATTTTATATACTTCAAACCTTCCCAGTGATCTCAAAATATCACTTTGTATTGTTACCTATAAAGCCAGGAAGGAGCCTTGGAGTGCAACCCAGCTTAGAACAAACAGGCTTAGTAAATCATGCCTGCAAAGTTTTATTTAACATTATTTTAAGAGGAATAAAGTTTACAATGGAAACTTAGAAGATGAGTTATCTTAAGAGAAAATGGATTTAGAAAGGGAAAAGGAACTAGAGAAGTTATATTTGGTTTGAGAAATTTGAGTGACAAGGCTTTAGAGGTCCAGAGAAATTTGAGTGACAAGGCTTTAGAGGTCCAGAGAAATTTGAGTGACAAGGCTTTAGAGGTCCAGAGAAATTTGTTTATCTGCTTTGTTGATTTTGTAAAAGTTTTTGATAAGGAAAAAATCGGCATTAATGAAGGAGATATTAGAATTCTAAAATAATCTTTACTGGTAACAGGAGGCTGCAGTGTTAGTAAATAATGAACTAACTAATTGGTTCATAGTTAGAGGGAGTAAGGCAAGGCTGTGTTCTATCTCCAACACTGTATAATATATATTCAGAATTCTTGATAGGAGAAGTTATAAGTGACGATGAAGGACTAAAAGTTAATGGTAAAGTAATATCAAATAAACGCTATGTAGATGATGATGCTCTTATCACGGATAGTGAAGAGGCATTATAAAAACTGGTTAACAGATTAGTGGAAAAAGGTGAGGAATATGGGTTAAGAGTTAATGCTGTGAAGACGAAAGTAATGGTTGTTTACAAATTGGATATAAAACCTAAAATAAAGATTATGGTTGGCAACAGGGAACTTAAACAAGTGTAAAATGTTGTGTATCTGGGACGTAACATTAACTGTGATGGTGGATGTATGGAAGACATTATAACAAGAATAGATCAGGCAAAAACAGAAAGACCAAATGAAAAAAGAACATTAACTTTAATTTGAGAAAAAGGCTGCTGAAAGACTTTATATGGCAGGGACACTTTCAGTAGACACCAGAAAGAGGTTGGAGGCTTTTTAAATGTGGTGTTATAGGCGAATGTCACAAATAAGCTACACTGACGGGAGAACAAATGAACAAGTACTAAGATTAGGAAAAACTTTAAGTGAAATACTTGAAATGTACAGAAAAAGAAAAATTAGATATTTTGGTCATATAATTAGGGATGAGGGATAATAATAGAAATATTAATGGGCAAAGTTGAGGGTAGGAGGGTCAGGGGGAGGGCAGAGGCCGGGATGGATAAATTAAATTGAAAAAATGAGTCCCCAGAGAGATACAAGACCTTGGAGGACTGGTAAAATCAGCCTGAGAATGTTAAGAGTGGAGGACTGTGGTCGCCAACCCTTAGATATGAGGACGGTACTCTGATTGATTGTTGTCACACCCTTCCCACATCACTATAATACTTCGCTGGTGTCACACCCTTCCCACATCACTATAATATTTCGTTGGTGTCACAATACTTCGCTAGTGTCACACCCTTCCCACATCACTATAATACTTCGCTGGTGTCACAATACTTCGCCAGTGTCACACCCTTCCCACATCACTATAACATTTCACAGGCCACAATGCTTCGCTAGTGTCACACCCCTTCCCACATCACTATAATACTCCGCTGGTGTCACACCCTTCCCACATCACTATAATACCGCTGGTGTCACAATGCTCTCGCTAGTGTCACACCCTCCCACATCACTATACTATTCGGTGTCACACCCTTCCCACATCACTATAATAATTCCGCTGGTGTCACAATACTGCTAGTAATACACCTTCCCACATCACTATAATACCTCGGGGTTGGTGCTCACAATGCTTCGCTAGTGTCACAATCTCTTCCCACATCACTATATATACTTGCTGGTGTCACAATGCTTCAGTGTCACACCCTTCCCACATCACTATAATACCTGGTGTCACACACTCCGCTGGTGTCACATTTCGCTAGTGTCACACCCTTCCCACATCACTATAATACCCGCTGGTGTCACATTTCGCTAGTGTCACACCCTTCCCACATCACTATGATACCCGCTGGTGTCACAATGCTTCGCTGGTGTCACACCCTTCCCACATCACTATAATACTCCGCTGGTGTCACATTACTTCGCTAGTGTCACACCCCCACATCACTATAATACCTGCTGGTGTCACAATAGCTAGTGTCACACCCTTCCCACATCACTATAATACTCCGCTGGTGTCACAAAGCTTCGCTAGTGTCACACCCTTCCCACATCATTATAATACTTCGCTGGTGTCCCAATACTTCGCTGGTGTCACACTCTTCCATCGCTACTAAAATGACTCTCCCGATGCCTCGTAATTATGAACTCAGGAAGAGGCGGCAAGTGATCAGGCTGCTCCAAGTATACAGAAGAGATCGTTGTGAGTCCTAACTTAAGTTTTTGTAATACATTATTGTTATTGTACGTTGTTGAACACGTGTGAGAGATTTAGTGTGAAACAGATGTAATAGATTCAACACACACACACACACACACACACCTCACAGACACACACACACACACAGACACACACACCCTCACAGACACCACACCCCTTACACACACACACACACACACACACACACCACTCCTTCAACACCACCTCTCTCCTGCTCTCCCACAGGTGATTGGGTCGGGACGAGAGCTGGTGGTACAGGTGGGACCTACCACTGCTGGCCTCTACTCCTGCCTGGCCACCGTCAGAGGCTTCCCGGACCTGGAGGGGCGTCTCAGGGTCCTGGTAAAAGGTCCTCCTACGATAGTGAGCGCCGGAGAGCAACAGGGCCGGATGGGGGACACTGTAACCCTGGAGTGCAGTACCGTGTCTGTACCCAGTCCTATACGCGTTACATGGACCTATAAGGGCAGAGAAATTGACCTGAGTAAGTAGGCAAATTACTCACTCATTAGTTCCCTTAATTATCTTTGGTCATTACTAATACCCGCTTTTATTAATTGACTAACTGATCAATGTGTTTTATTTTCAGTCTCTCTCATATGTCTTTTATATGCGCTGCCGAGGGGGTATTCTTTCCCTCCCATCCTCCTCCCTCCCTCCCTCCTCTCTCCCTCAGCACTAACGCAGCTATGGCCAAGTGTTGGTTAGGTGAGCCAGATGTCCCCTCTCCCCCCATGTCTTCATATCTACATCCTATTGGCTAATATTTGATGTGTAGCCTCATTATATCCCTCATGGTAGTCCTGAGAGCCCCTGTAGCCTGCACGATGGATCCCTCACCTTCCCTCACCTTCCTCACCCTTCTCTGGAACCTCTCCCGCCTCCCCTTACCCTATCCCCATCCTCCTCACTGCCCCCTCCCCTTCACTTGATCTCCCTACCTCCCCCACCTCCCTCACTCTCCCTCACCTCACCACCAGGCAGAAAATAAGAAATAAGTGGGTAAAATAATCTCCTCCTTCCCTCCTACCTCCTCCTGCACCATCACCTCCTCCTACCTCCTCCTGCACCATCACCTCCTCCTACCTCCTCCTCCACCATCACCTCCTCCACCATCACATCCTCCTCCTCTCGTCCTGTGGGTAAGACATATTATGACCTAAACACCTGGAACTAATCTACAAGCTTGACGCTGTAATTACAAGTTGGTGTCATGGGTGGTCCCCAAGTTGCTGAGCAGCGTGTGTCTTGTGCTAACTCAGCTGCTCTCTCTCTCTCTCTCTCTCTCTCTCTCATACATTTTCTCACTCTCCCGCATTCTCATACATTCTCACCCTCACTCACTCTTATTCACTCCTCATAATCTCTTCTTCACTCTCACTCTTAACTAGCCACTCACTCACTCACTCACTCACTCACTCTTTCTCCCACACTTCACCCTCATTCACCCACCCACTCCCCCAATCATTTTCACCCAGTCTCTCTCACTCCGTCACTCTCTCTCTCTCTCCCTCAGGTGACCCGAGATACGAGGTTGTAGAAGACCGTAAGCAGGAGGAAGTGAAGAACCAACTGGTAATACATCAAGTGGACACGCATGACTTCGGAGCGTACAACTGTTCTGTGGTCAACGAGTATGGCGTAGCCCGTAAGATGATTCGCCTGCATGAGAAGAGTGAGTTGTGGTAGTGGTGGTAGTAGTGGTGGTAAGGAATAGTGGTGGTGGTAAGGGTGGTAGTGGTGGTAGTAGAGGGTAGTGGCGGTAGGAGTAGTTTTGGTAGTGGTAGTGGTTAGTGGTGGAAGTAATGGTGATGGTTGTTATTCTTATGTAAAATAATAATAATAATAATAATAATAATAATAATAATAATAAAGATGGCTGGCAGTATCGTAATATTATCGCATTTCTTCTAAACGACTTAACTCTCTTAACAAACTCTGATCATTATATTTTATTTATTGACCCGTGTGTGTGTGTGTGTGTGTGTGTGTGTGTGTGT